ATTAGTGGCGGGGTGGCACCGCACCCATGCCGTGTGGTTGATTTTTGTTCCACAATGCACGGTGATAGGGATATGCGGTGACAACTTCCTCCAGTGGAGCGGCACGAGCAGCACGGGGAGCGAAACGGAGGAGTGGTGGCTGCGTGCTTCCAATTGATACGTGAATGGCGAGTGCAGTATGAAAGGCAGCGTCACGGCACTCTTTTGCCATGCACACCACAAATATTTTCCATAAAGCTTGCAAATTGTATTCTTTTCTGTTGTGTGTGGGATTACCGTGATGCATCGCTGTTGTGGCGTGTATGATTTGTGGTCCCTGCGTGTGGCCGCTTCTGCACCGAATTCTCCTCCCACTTTTGTGTGTTTGTGTCAGTGGCGATGTGTCCCTGTCCTCTCGCAGAGTGTGTGAGGGATGACGGCGGTGCCACACGGGTGCGGGACCGTGGCGAGCGGAATGCGTGGGCGAACCCTCCGTGCGCACCACGTTGTTTTTGTTTGCTCTGTCCAACACTGTGCTGGGTGGATGGCATCCAAATATCGTTTTGGTGGTCCTCGTGCATGTGGTGTGCATCGAATACTGTGCCGTCACACTGTGTGGGTGAGTCTCTTGTTGTGGCTGCGAGTCATGACTGTGTTGTATTTCTTTTTCTCATTCCCCTTTTTTGTTTGGTGGCTATTGTTTAGATCCAACTCTAACTAAGAAAGCAAGGAGAAACAATGTCTGGAGGGCCGGAGAGTGTACAAGGCGGCAATGTGGAGAGTCAATCATCCAATCTCTCGCAGGGAGTTCGGAGGAGAACGAGGTCGGAATTTGAGGGTGAAACAGATTACTCCTCTGCGACTCGCAGAAGATTGGAGGAAATACATCGACCGCAGTGGACCATGAGCAGCAGCGTAGAGGACATTCTGCTGGAAGGAAGCACTAACAGGACCGACATGAAGCTGAATGAATTCCTTCGGAGCAAATTGGGCGGCACGGCGGCTGTTGGTGAAGACTACAATGTGACGATGGAGGCGTTTGTTCAGGAGCCGGATGCTTACGTAAAAGACCAGCAGCTTCTTGAAGAGATTCTTAACTTAACTGCGTACCAAACGCTGAAAATATTATTGGAGGCTATTAATAAGCTTCATCACGAGGGTGTGTTCTTTCTCGATCAATGGAGGGACTATGAAGGAAAGGATACGGTCACTCCTGTTGCAAGGAGAAAACTAAACAGAGTTCTCACTCAGGTACTGACAGAAAAACGCCGGGAGGCGGAAGAAAGGGCAAGGCGGGACGAGCAACAAATAATGTTTAACTTAACTCTCAGCATTGAAGATGTGCTTTTTCAAGGAAGAGTTCGAGTCATGGAAATAAAGCTGAATGATTTTCTTACGATGAAATTTGACGGCAGAGGCATTTTGCGCGCCAATCGGAATGTCTTACTGAGGGATTTCTTTGGTGATCCCACGAGGTATATCCGCGATGCGGGAGTATTGAACGAAATACAGGCATCATATGCTTATGCGGAGATGGAGGGGGCTGTGAGGGATGAAATGGGTTTGAAAGAAGATGTACGGAGGCTTCACCACGAGAATGGTGTGCTTTCTCTCGAGCAATGGAGGGACTATGAAGGAAAGGATACGGTCACCCAACTTGCAAGGGAAAAACTAAACAGAGTTCTCACTCAGGTACTGACAGAAGAACGCCGGGAGGCGGAAGAAAGGGCAAGGCGGGACGAGCAACAAATAATGTTTAACTTAGCTCTCAGCATTGAAGATGTGCTTTTTCAAGGAAGAGTTCGAGTCATGGAAATAAAGCTGAATGATTTTCTTACGATGAAATTTGACGGCAGAGGCATTTTGCGCGCCAATCGGAATGTCTTACTGAGGGATTTCTTTGGTGATCCCACGAGGTATATCCGCGATGCGGGAGTATTGAACGAAATACAGGCATCATATGCTTATGCGGAGATGGAGGGGGCTGTGAGGGATGAAATGGATTTGAAAGAAGTTGTACGCAGGCTTCATCACGAGGGTGTGTACTCTCTCGAGCAATGGAGGGACTATGAAGGAAAGGATACGGTCACCCAACTTGCAAGGGAAAAACTAAACAGAGTTCTCACTCAGGTACTGACAGAAGAACGCCGGGAGGCGGAAGAAAGGGCAAGGCGGGACGAGCAACAAATAATGTTTAACTTAGCTCTCAGCATTGAAGATGTGCTTTTTCAAGGAAGAGTTCGAGTCATGGAAATAAAGCTGAATGATTTTCTTACGATGAAATTTGACGGCAGGGGCGTTGTGGACACCAATCGGAGTGTTTTGCTGAAGGAGTTTTTCAGGGATCCCACGAGTTATATCCGCGATGCGGGAGTATTGAACGAAATACAGGCATCATATGCTTATGCGGAGATGGAGGGGGCTGTGAGGGATGAAATGGGTTTGAAAGAAGATGTACGGAGGCTTCATCACGAGAATGGTGTGCTTTCTCTCGAGCAATGGAGGGACTATGAAGGAAAGGATACGGTCACCCAACTTGCAAGGGAAAAACTAAACAGAGTTCTCACTCAGGTACTGACAGAAGAACGCCGGGAGGCGGAAGAAAGGGCAAGGCGGGACGAGCAACAAATAATGTTTAACTTAGCTCTCAGCATTGAAGATGTGCTTTTTCAAGGAAGAGTTCGAGTCATGGAAATAAAGCTGAATGATTTTCTTACGATGGAATTTGACGGCAGGGGCGTTGTGGACACCAATCGGAGTGTTTTGCTGAAGGAGTTTTTCAGGGATCCCACGAGTTATATCCGCGATGCGGGAGTATTGAACGAAATACAGGCATCATATGCTTATGCGGAGATGGAGGGGGCTGTGAGGGATGAAATGGGTTTGAAAGAAGATGTACGGAGGCTTCATCACGAGAATGGTGTGCTTTCTCTCGAGCAATGGAGGGACTATGAAGGAAAGGATACGGTCACTCCTCTTGCAAAGGGAAAACTAAACAGAGTTCTCACTCAGGTACTGACAGAAGAACGCCGGGAGGCGGAAGAAAGGGCAAGGCGGGACCAGCAACAAATAATGTTTAACTTAACTCTCAGCATTGAAGATGTGCTTTTTCAAGGAAGAGCTCGAGTCATGGAAATAAAGCTGAATGATTTTCTTACGATGAAATTTGACGGCAGGGGCGTTGTGGACACCAATCGGAGTGTTTTGCTGAAGGAGTTTTTCAGGGATCCCACGAGGTATATCCGCGATGCGGGAGTATTGAACGAAATACAGGCATCAGATGCTTATTTGAGGGCCGTGAAGGCTGTACGGGAGGAAATGGATATGGAAGAAGATTTAACAAAGCTCCACTATAATCATTTAAGCACTCTATTTGGGTGGTCATTAGCTACTGCGGAGATAAGAGCAAGTGTTCATGAAATCACTAAAAGTTTTTTGGATCCAGCCCTTGAGGAGGCGAGGAAACCAACGACGACGATTGCACCGATAAAAATGGAGGGATTGTACGAGTCTGTGTACAATGCGAGTTGGCATCATGTGGTGGAAGTTCCTGGCGGCGAGGGGACGCAAACGGGAATAGGAATGTATGTGAGGGAGGGGAAACCACCGCAGTCATGGACGTACACGGCAGTTGGCAATACCCTCGAAAAGGATGACAGTTTGGAACAGTCCGGTGCAGCGCGTCCCAGGCTGATGGTGCTCACCTCGGACGATGGATGGCCGTACACGATGAATGGGCCGCATAGGGCTGGTATTGACTTGTGTGTTAACTGTGAGGTGGAGCGAGTGTGGCAGATCGTCAAGCGCGGTCTAAGCAAGTGGTTCAACAATTTTCATTTGACTCTCAATCCTTCACCCGTGCCGCATCTGTTGGTTGGGACGCCCGGGATTGGGAAGTCGATGAATGCCGGCTCGTACCTCCTCTACCAGCTGCTGCACTACGATATCAAGAAACTCCAAGTGGTCGTCCACTGTTTTGGAGATACCGCGTACGTGTTTGACAAGACCATCCAGACGGTGACAAAATACATGGGTAATAAAACATCCAAGAGTGTTTTGGGTGGTTTGTGGCAGCGTGGGATGAAAGGGTATATTATTTACGATGTGGCAAAGAAAGGAACACCGCCCGACACAGATATTGCGCCCTGTAAGGGATGGGGCATGATTGTGGTGTCATCGCCAAACCTGGACAACTTCAGCGAATGGGAGAAACAAAGTGAATCCGTACAAATCGTAATGAATTGTCCTGAGAAAGACGATGTAAAGGCGATGTGCGTTTGGATGAAGCACAATCGGCAGCTTCCGGAGGAAGAAGCGGACTACTGGAAAAAGGTGGAAGTTCGAATGGATAATTTGGGACCGCTTCTTCGCTACGTCTTTGATCAGAGCAAATACAAATCTCGGCTTGACTCGTGCGAAAGTATAGTTGATGAAATGACCTTGCCGGATACCAACTATTACTCTGTTTTGGGGACTGGTAAAATGTGTGATGGTAGCCACGTCTCTCACAAACTTGTAAAGGTCGTACGAGTACGAGGAAATGGGCATTCCGAATTGCCTTTAAATGCACTGATTTCTTCTCACCTTGCAGAATTAACGTTATGCAAGTTGGCAGAGTTAATGGTGCCGAATGATTTTAATTTACTTATATTGGCTATCAAGGACGACCTCATATCAAAAGCCCTTGAAGATCATTCCTTGTTTGCATTTTTAAGTGCGGCCTTTGTAAATGCAATAATACCGAAACTCACGGAGCTGAAAGTAGAAAAAAATGCTCCACCACACCGCTGTGCGTTGAGAGTGTATCCACATGAGCGCCCTCTCAAGCCCTGTCTTTTAGAGTGCCTGGAAAATTTAAAAAAGAAGATTAATATAGAGTGTCGGGTGCTGTACAAACCGGAGGCTAAAAACTTTCCACTGGTAGACGGCTTTTTCTTTGTTGATTCGCCGCGGAAGACGCTGGTTGGGCTGCAGATGATGACGGCGGGTGGGCACCACACCACCGCCAGCACCGTGAGGCAGTTCAATGAGCGTATGGCGGAATATTTTAATGGTTGGAAGAAATTTTCCCAAGACATGTTGTGGGATATTATTTATATACAGCACGCAGACAGCACGCCGATGAATGACTGGCAGAGATGTGGTCCCGTCAATAACAATAATTTGAGCGACGATGAAAAAAAGATTGTGGCGTTCTGGAGGGAAAAGGTACACCAGTATCAAGTTTCTGTATCATCCGGAGACTTTTGAAGAGAAGAAGATCTCCCAAGTACGGAAGAAAAGCAAACAAACAAACAAACAAACAAACAAACAAAAAAAAAAAAAAAACAGATTAGGAAATGAAAAGTGAAAGAGAGATTTTGATTTGCGGTAAATTTTTTTTTTTTTGAAATATATATATTTAGACACTTGTGTGTGCATACGTTGCAGGTGCACCACCATCAGGCGGCAGCACGGCACAAAAGTGTTAAGAATGTTCAACGCGAGTGATGATAGCAGTGACAGAAGAAATTAAGTGGGGAAAGGGAAATTTATATTTCTGGTGAAAAACATATTTCGAGTTGTTTGATACATGTGAATGTTTGTTTTTTTATACGACACCGGTGCACCATCCGCTTTGGGAGTAAGGCGCACAGATGCCAAAAAATTACAACGCGATGTTTTTACACAAGGACAGAAAAACAAATCAGGGATGCCAGAGGCATTTTAATTAATGGTACTAAAATATTGAAGAATTTATATTTATGTGAATGCTTTTTCGTTTGTATACAAGTCGTAATAAGAGAACTGCTCTGTTATTAAGGAATTACTGTCTTTAGCTGTATCGTAATGTTAATACATTTTCTCTTTCATTCTATTTTGTTCTAGGACCCATCATTAAGTGAAGCATCTTAAAGGGATGGACGAAGGGTAGGTTCTATTGAGGAAACAATGCACTCCGTATGACCGCATGGAGTGAGGCGCCGCGTCATGGATGGATGAGGAATCGCTTCCGCGTGTGGCTCTTTGAGAGCTCACTTTGTGTGCGTTGTGTGCCGGCAGCGGGCTGTGGCCGTATCCCGTTGTCCGTGGGATTGAACCGGAGGCGGTGGCGGTGTGTCTCTTCTTGTCCGTTTTGGTTGATTGCTGGCGGTGTGTGCGTTTGTTGTGTGGAGGCCGTCTCGCAGTTTATGCACACAGTGAGCAACAACTGCTGTGAAAGGCCGCGTCTTCTTAGTATGGACTTATTGACTTTAAGCAGTGTGTTTGACCATGTTTTTCGTTATGTGCATGAGTGCTGGGCGTGTTTTACCGGAGCGTTGGGTGCGACCATCTGCCATGGCCAATTTGTATGGTTGAGCGCGCGTGCGGGTTAGGGTTAGGGTTAGGGTTAGGGTTAGGGTTAGGGTTAGGGTTAGGGTTAGGGTTAGGGTTAGGGTTAGGGTTAGGGTTAGGGTTAGGGTTAGGGTTAGGGTTAGGGTTAGGGTTAGGGTTAGGGTTAGGGTTAGGGTTAGGGTTAGGGTTAGGGTTAGGGTTAGGGTTAGGGTTAGGGTTAGGGTTAGGGTTAGGGTTAGGGTTAGGGTTAGGGTTAGGGTTAGGGTTAGGGTTAGGGTTAGGGTTAGGGTTAGGGTTAGGGTTAGGGTTAGGGTTAGGGTTAGGGTTAGGGTTAGGGTTAGGGTTAGGGTTAGGGTTAGGGTTAGGGTTAGGGTTAGGGTTAGGGTTAGGGTTAGGGTTAGGGTTAGGGTTAGGGTTAGGGTTAGGGTTAGGGTTAGGGTTAGGGTT